TGGCTCACGCCTGTAATCCTAGCACTCAGGGAGGGTGAGGAAGGAGGATCGCTTGAGCCCAGGAGTTCGAGGTTGCAGTGAGCTGTTATGAGGCCAGTGCACTCCAGCCTGGGCAACAGAGCAAGACACTGTCTCAAAAAAAAAAAAAATTGGGTTTTCTGTCTTCTTACTGAGTTACAAGAGTTATTTATATATTCTAGATACAGTCTTTTATAAGACATGATTTGCAAATATTTTCTCCATGTCTGTGGCTTGTCCCTTTGTTTTCTTATGAAAATGTCTTTTGAAGTTCAAAGTTTTAAATTTTAATAAAGTCCAATGTATTAATTTTCCCTTTTATGGTTCATGATTTAATGCTGTATCTAAGAACTTTTTGCCTAACCCAAGGTCATGAAGATTATCTTCTATTCTTTTTTTCTAAGAGTTTTGTAGTTTTAGCTCTTACATTTAAGTCTATAATACATTTTGAGTTAGTTTTTGTGTATTGTGTGAGGTAAGAGTTTAAGTTCATTTTTGGGCATATGGATATCTAGTTGTCCTAGCACTATTTGTTGAAAAGACTATATTTTCTCCATTGAACTGTTTTGGTACATTGACCATAAATGTGAGAGTTTATTTTTGAACTTTCAGTTTTTTTCTATTGATCTATCTTCCTAGCCTTACACTAATACCACATTGGTATTGATTATTTTACCTTTAACAGTAACTTTTGAAACTGGGTAGTGTAAATCTTTTTCCAACTTTGTTCTTATTTTTCAAAATTGTTTTGGTTATTCTAGGTCCTTTCAACTCCTACATTTTGAGATCAGTTTGTTAATGTCTACAAAAATGCCTGCTGGGATTTTGATAGGTATTGTGTTGAATCTACATATCGATTTAGGGAGAACTGACATCTTCACAACATTGAATCTTCTGATCCATGAACATGGAATGTCTCTCCATTTATTTAGATTTTCTTTAATTTTCTCAACAATGCTTAATTAACTTAATTCTAGATATTTTATTCCTTTTTAATGTTATTGTGAATGGAATTGCTTTCTTCATTTTTAGAATGTTACTAGCATATAAAAATTCAGTTGATTTTTTTAATATTGTGCCCTTGTTAAACTTGTTTATTAGTCTATTAGTTTTTTGTGGATTCCTAAAGATCTTCTACATATAGAATGATGACAGGTTTACTTCATCCTTTCCAGTCTGAACACCTTCAATTCACAATCCCCTACTCCTTGCATTAACTAGAACCTTCAGTAAAGTGATGAACAGAAGTGATGAGAGCACAGCCAGGTGAGGTGGCTCACGCCTGGAATCCTAGCACTTTGGGAGGCCGAGGCAGGAGGATTGCTTGAGGTCAGAAGTTCAAGAAGTGATAAGAACAAACATCCTTAGCTTGTTCTGAATCTTAGGGGAAACCAATGAGCTTATGTTAGCTGTGGGTGTTTTGTAGATGCACCTATCAAATTGAGAAAATTCCCTTCTATTCCTGATGTATTGAGCAGGTTTTGTTTTGTTTTTATGAATAAATGTTGGATTTTGTCAAATGCTTTTTATGCATTTATCAAAATGATTATTTGATTTTTGTTATCTATTCTAGTAATATGGTATATTACTTTGTTTTTCAAATGTTAAACCAATCTTGCATTTCTATAATAAATGTCCATTGGTCATGGCGTCTAATCCTTTTTATATATTGCTGACATTAGTTTGCTAATTTTTGCATCTATGTTCTTGAGGAATATTGGTCTATAGTAGGAGTTGGCAAATTTTTTCTATAAAGGGCCAAAGAGGAAATATTTTTGGCTTTTTGGTCTATAGCCTCTTTGCAACTACTCAGCTCTGCTGTTGTAGAGCAAAAGCAGTCATAAACAATATGTAAACAAAATGTCTGTGTTCCAGTAAAACTTTATTTACCGAAACAGGTGACAAGCCAGATTTGGCCTCTGAAAGAGCTTTTGAAGGATTAGTATTATTTCTTAAGTATTTTTTTTGATAGAATTCACCAGTGAGGAAATCTAACCTTGAGTTTTACTTTGAGAGAAGATTTTACATTTTTAATTCAATTTCTTTACTTGTTATAAGTCTATTCAAATTTTTTCTTTCTTCTTGAGTTATTTTCAATACTTTGTCTTTCTAGGAATTTGTCAATTTTACCTAGAGAAAAGGTCTCTCCTGTTGCCCAGGCTGGAGTGCAGTGGCTTGATTATAGCTCACTGCAGCCTTGAATTCCTGGTCTCAAAGGAGCCTCCTGACTCAGCCTCCCAAATAGCTGGGACTACAGGTGCATGCCACCACACTTGGCTAATTATTTTTATTTCTATTTCTTGTAGAGTCGGGGTCTCACTAAAAAAAGAAAAAATATATAGTTGGGCGTGGTGCGCATGCCTGTAGTCCTAGCTACTCGGGAGGCTGAGGCAGGAGGCTCTCTGAGCCCAGGAGTGCGAGGCTGCAATGAGCTATGAACGCGCCACTGCACTACAGCCTGGGTGACAGAGCGAGACCCTGTCTCAAAAAAAAAAGTTAAAAATAAATTGACTGGTACCATCCCCGTTTTAGGGATGAGGAAGTAGGCCACAAAGTGAACAGGTGGAGGGGGCAGAATGGAGGCAGGGACCCCGAAGGGGATGCCCTGGGGTCCTTGCAGGCGGGCGGTCCAGAGGGAGGTGCAATGGAGGCAGGGCTTGGGGGGGTGTCCTGAAGGTCCTGAAGGGGGTCCTGAAGCTGGGACTGGATCGCAGAGGGCCATCTATTCCTCAGGGAGCCAAAGGAGAGCGGGCTAGATCCCGTTCCACATCTCCCCCGATCCCCAACTCTTCCCCAACCGGGTACTCACCTGCTCTGAGGGCTCCAGGTTTCTCTCCTCAGTTACCTCCGCTGTCTCTGTGTTGCTAGGTTACCCGCCAATCTCAGAAGGAGGGACTTGGCGTCTGACTGACTTGCCTTTTCACCATTGAATTCCCTGTTCCGTATAGTTAGCCCCACCTCCTCAGTTCTGACCAATCAGAAGCACCGTCTCTTTGACTTCCACCAATTGAAGACCCGGGACTCCCTTTGGGTTGGGCAGACCAAGAAAGGCGGGGAGGATGGGAAGAGAAAAGGGCGGAGCTTTTTACCCCTTCTTAAGGGGGCGGGCAGAGGGTACTTGCATCGGCAGTGGGCGAGAACTGTAGAAGGACGTGAAGGTTGGCCAACCAGAGCTTATTCTGGCAGCCCAGTGAGCCAATAGGCCGCGGTGAAGGGGAAGTGGGGCGGAGCCAGCGGGGTTGAGAAGACGGTAGGCGGCGGACTGGAGAGCTGGCGCAGCTGCTGGGGTGGCAGCGGCTGAAGTGGCGGCAGCTGCGGCGGCTGCAACAGTTTCGGGCTCGGGGTGTTGGCGGCAGCGCCGGCGGGCTGGGCTGCGCGGTGCGGACCCAGGCGCGCGGTCCAGATTGCTGGGGCGGCGCGTGTAAGAATCCGAGGGGTGCGAGGGCTTGCCCCGGGGGAGAGGGCAGGGGTCAGGGGTCAGGGTTCAGAGGGTGCGGAGTAAGAGGTTGTGGCTGGGTACCCCGGTGTGGGAGGTGGGCTGGGCGGGCCCAGAGAGGCCGCTGGGAAGTCACTACCGCGTTTCTCTCTGTCCAGCCCAGGCTGGGGCTTTGCACCCTCTCTCCTCACCCCCGACTTCCTCGGGAGACCCCCACGTGGGCTCCCCGACCCGGGCTGGGAGCACGTGGAGCTGGAGCCGGCGCTCCTGCCTCTTCCTTCCTCCTCCGTCCGCTTGTCTGCCTGCAGCCCTCAGGTGACCCTGCAGCAGACTCATGCCCGAGTCAGGCTGCCCCAGCGGACAGCGGGATGGCACTGGCCCTCGTTCCCTGGGACCTCTCCCCAAGAGTGACCTTCTGGGTCCTCTATAGCGGGAGAAGCAAAGCCCGCAAAGGAGCACTGGGCTAGGACTCAGGAGTCCTGGGTTCTAGCTCTACTCCTGCACTGTGTGACTTTGGGCAAGTCCCTTCCCCTCTCTGGGCCTCATTTTTCTCACTGTAAAATGATGGGTTTGAATTCATATGGGGGAACTGGGTCTAGGAGTAAGGTATAGAGTAGTGGTTAAGCGGAGAGAGTCCTCGAATTCAGACTCCCTGGGTTGAAATCTGGGCTGTACCATTTCCCTACTGTTTACTTATAAGAGGCAAGTTAAGTTAACCACTCCAAGCCTCAGTTTCCTCATCTGTAAAGTGGGAGTATTAGCTAAGATAAGATTTCTCAATAGCAGCACTATTGACATCTTGAGCCACATAATTCTTTGTTGTGGGAGATCTCACCTTTGCATCGTAGGATGTTTAGTGGCATCCTGGACTCTACCCACTAGCAATCCCCTCACTTCTATGTTGTGACAATCAAAAATGTCTGCTGGTGTCCCCTGGGGCGCAAGATCACCCCAGTTGAGAGCCACTGAGCAGTGTGTGCAAGCAAGTAGTCATATATTAAAACTTAAAAACCACTAGCCATTATGATAGTAATGATAAAACTAAGAAACCTCGGTGAGTTAATAGATTCTCCTGCCTTCAAAATAAATACAGGAAATAATTGTCAAAGCTGAGTAATGGATACAGGGAAGTTCATTTGTATATTTTCCACTTTTGAGTATCTTTGAAAATATCCATGGGAAAAAGTTAAACCAAAAAAATAATAAAAACATAATTCTTAAGACTGTAGCGTCTCATCTGGGATTTCCTCTTCTGCCTCCCCACTACTGAGATTTAAAAGGAAAATAAATCCCTAGATCTGGAGGCAACTTTAAAAAGTCTTCTCACAGGAAGTTTGCTGGGCAGAGAGCTACAGGCTTAGGAGCAAATAGAATGGTGTTTACTTCTGCTGCCTTGTTTAAAAAGATGTACTGTTCCCTGCTGATGCACTGGCGCTCCCTGTTTACACACAGGGATCTGCCTGCAGTTATTCTGATGATTTATGAAAGAAGTAAATCGCCCAGTTGCCATTCACTGGGTCAGTTCAGAGGCAGAGTTGATGCAGCCCAGAGTCCGCAGCTTGAGGAAGGAACCTGCTGGCGTTTTCAAGTTCAAAGGTCTGCAGAGAGATCTGCTGAGTCTTTGCTTTTCCTTTGGTCCTTCTAAGCGGAAGTGGGAATGTGTATAAATAGGAGCTGCAACAGGCTAGTTCTGAGTGTTTTAAATTGGCAGTTAAGGATGAGCGCTTTTACTGTGTGACTCTGACCGTCATTTTAAAAAATACTGTTGTTCTTTTTCCTTAAATGCCTAAATCTAGGAGAACGATGCCTATATAAGAATGATACGTATTGTTTACCAGCGAAGTTCAGAATGGTCTTGGGAGTATGTGTCTAACAACTCCTGAGAGGCTGCTTAGTAAAGTTGGAGAGAAAGATGTGTGTATATATGTATATATATATATCTCTAAAAATACATACACAAATATATATATAGGCAAGTATAGATCACCTGGTATGCTAACTCTTTACTGGTCGTTGAAGCTGGGTGCCACCTAAATATAGCACCTGAACTTCGAGGAATTATAGGGTAATGGCTGGGAATACAGATTGAGAGTCAGACTGCATAGTTCAAAGCTTGGCTTTCCAGCTGTGGGTTCTTGGGCAAGTTATTCAACCTCTCTGTGCCTTAACATTCCACCCTGTAATGGGGGAATAATAATCCTATGAATACCTATCTCTTGGGGCTATTATGAAGTTTCAATCACCTTTTATTTATAAACTGCTGGTACGTAATACTTAATACTCATTAGGTATTAACTACTATTATTGTAATGGTTGTATTTTTTTGTCTTTAAAATCTTTGTAATTTGTTGTCTTTAAAATCTGTATAAAACTCACAAATAAATATAAAGGAGGTAGAGATGGAACGTATTAGCCCTAATCTCATTCTCGAGACATAATTATCTTTAACTTTTCAGTATTTGTTCTTGCAGGGTTTTCCCCTCTTATTTTAATGCTATTATACTTTAATAGCTCTTCCTTTTTTTAAAAAAAAAATTGAGATACAATTGACCATTTTAAAGAGCATAATTCACTGTCATAGTATATTCACAAGGCGTGTAACCATCACTGCTATCTAATTCTAGAACATATTCATCAGTAATGGGTATGTTTTAATAATTGTCTTTTTTTTTTTTTTTTTTAATCTCCCAAACCTAGAAGATGTCTCTAATGGAGGAATTTCTGAGAAGCACCTCTGGCCCAGTGGCTTTGAAAGGGAGCTCCAACCAGAGACTCTTTAAAGCCTTGACCATCACATCCTGAGGGCTGCAGGAGAGGAGAACATGGCTGTGAGTTTGGATGATGACGTGCCCCTCATCCTGACCTTGGACGAGGGTAGCAGTGCCCCACTGGCGCCCTCCAACAGCCTGGGCCAAGAGGCGCTGCCTAGCAAAAGTAAGAAGTGGGGCGGGCCGGGGGGGACTCCTGCTTTTCTGTTTTAGAGGGTGAAAGATGATATGGCTTTCAGGTGTGATAGGAGAGGAGTGTACCCTGTTACCTGGCCCCATGTTTGCGCCTCTAGTTCTGACACAGAAACTACTTCTGGGAGACTGTGGGGTTCTAATCCCACGCCCCCAGCTTCGTCATGCTTCGGGGGGTCTAGCTTGCTGTCCTCAAGCCCTCATTCCCTCAGCCACCTGCCTGCCTGGCACCTGAGTTACCTTGGCTTGTCCGCGGATGCTTGGCAGGGACCTCGGGCAGACCTGCTCCTTGGCTACCTTCCCTGCCCCACTCCTTGTTAAAAAAAGAAACAGATTTCAACACCAGCCTCCGTCTGTCCCGATCTGAAACCGTTGGCAGGAAAGCAGAGCTGACTGCTTCTCTCTGCTCCCTCTCAGGCCCTGAGTTGCCCAGGACAGGGTGGAAGGGGGCGAGCATTTGTCATGATCCATTGATTTGAGGGTTTGGGGTTTTGCTTTGTCTTCCTCTGAACCAAAGCCTAGCACAAAGTGAACCCGAGAGAGCTGGTGAGCTTTAAATTTTTAAAAATTTTAAGTGTGTTTCTGGCAGGATGCGAGGCCTTAAAAACCTTTCTGGTCCTCATCCTGAAGCCATCTGTTTTCATTTGCTCAGGTCTTGGGCTCAGGAGAGACTTAAAATAACCTGCCTTTTCTGGAGCGTCCTACGATGTTGGGGACCAGGGCTTTAGGGTCTCCTTAGCAAACAGATGTTCCACCGGAGCCCTGCGGCCAGGGCGGGGAGGTACTGTTCCTCTCCTGTTCACAAGGGAAGACACTTGGGCCCAGGGAGAGATGAGCCAGGCTCTGCCATCTCCTTTGTCCAGCTGAACAGTTGTCCAGAGAACAGTTGGGTTGCAGGGAGCTCAGCAGCCTCCCCTGGGAAGTGAAGGGGAGCAGTGTTCCTGGGGGTGAAAGTGCAGCGGGGGCCCTGGCTTCCTATAAACGGGCCTCTCTTTGCTTTGGCGTGTTCACCCCCATCTAGGGTGGCAAAGCTGGGTTGCCCAGCAGGATTAGAACATAAACCAGATTCTTCCCTAAGCACCACTCAGGGCCAAGAAAGCAGTGACTTTGATTGCAGGCCTTTATCTAAGATCCCCTAGCAAGGTAGGCAGTATTATCCCTATTTTGTAGGGGAGGAAACTTGGGTCAGAGAGGTTAAGTAGTTTACCTGAGGTCACACAGCCAGAAAGTGGTTGAGCAGAGACTTTGAACCCAGGAGTGTCTGACACCTAAGTTCCTTCCCCTCCTCTTCTTTCTCCTTTCCTCCTCCTCCGGCTCCACCTTCTCCTTTTTTCTTCACAAGCCCTTGATAAACGTGAGCTCAGGCCCTTAGCATTTATATTATCTCATCCTATAACCTCAAGACAGAGTTACTGGTATTATCTGTATTTTACAGAGGAAGAGACAGCCTCAGAGAGGTTAGGTGACTTGGTGCTTAGCAGAAAGGGATGTAAGGAAACGTGGCCGGGTCTTGGCTTCAGAGGAGGATACCACCCAGTGAGGGAGGGTGCTTGGCCTGCTAAGGGCGTGGCTCATGTCTGCAAATAGCCAGGCTCAAGATCCTAAATGGGAAATCCTGTCTGTCGTTGCGAGTATCACTTTTAGATCCCTCCAGAGTGTCTGAGCCGAGGGTGGGCGTCCAGCTCTCCTGCGGGATAAAAGTGGCGAGAGCGACCCAGTCCTGTGTCGGGATCAGGCTTTGAACGGGTGATGGAGCTTGCTGAATAGGAACTAGGCCACAGCGACAATAAGACTCACCTTGGACAGGCCAGCAGTGAGGTTGTTTTTATCTCGGTGAAGTCAGTGGCTTATTTTGGTCTGTTTCTTAAGAAAAATGAAGTATATAACTAACTGCTGGGGTCCAGGGACATTGTGTTTTCCGCATAGTGCATTAGTGCCTCAGTTTCACCCTCTTACTGGGTCACTTGTTAAAACTTCAAAGGACTAGTGGGTGTGACCCGCCAAGCTTGGTGAGGGAGAACGGCAGGGCCCCTGAGCAGAGGAGAGATGTCAGAGGAGCTTCGCTCTGCCTTGGCATAGACCTCTGATACTTCCTGCTCGATCCTGGCATTAACCTTCCTCCCTGCTGCCTGAGCATCCGTCTGAAACACGCATCCAACCTGGCCGTTGCCCTGTCTTCAAGCTCCTCAGGACCTGCCCATCCCTGCAGGGTGCAGGCCAAGCTCTTCAACTCGTGCGCACGGCCTTGCGTGTTCTCGCGCCTTCTTGCTTGACGGGTCCTCGTCCGTGCCTCAGCCCACAGTGTCACACTGCCTCCAGTTCGGTGAGTCCCCAGTGCATTCTTGAACCTCTCACCTTGCTGGAAAGTCTGCCTGGCATGCCTTCCTGAGCCTCTTGTTTGCTCTTCAGCTCCAGCCCTGTCTTGAAATCCCTGCTGATAACACCTTCTCTTTGAAGCCTTCGCTGAACTTCGCCTTCCTGGCAGAGCTAATTACTCACTGCCCTTTTCTGTTGGTATCTTGATTAGGCAAGTAGATTACTGGGTGCTAATTACCTGTTTAGCTGTCTGATTACTTCCTAGGCCCTGAGTTCCGTTCATCTCTGTACCACACAGCTCAGTGCCTACATATGTAGGTACCCAGCAAATCGTGGCCGGAATAAACCTAGTTGGGTTTCATGGCAGGGGCTGAGGGCCCTCGCGAGAGGTGGGCAGCGTCCCTTCCTGCCTCTTCTTCTAACCAGTGTTCAAGTCCCATTTCTCCCAGCACAGCTGATTGTCCCTGAGGCCACCATCACTGACCAATCTGTAAACCCTTGAGGTATTAGGGAGTCGGCAGGATGCAGGCAGAGCTGTCAGCAGAGCTGGCAGGCACATGGGCATAAGCCATCGGAAACTAAGCAGGTTCTCTAAGGGTGTGATCCTTGAGCAAGGCTGGGCCTTCGTCCTGACCCAGCAGCCACTGCGGCCTTCTTCTGGCTCAGAACCTACATTCTCCTCATCTGCTCAGGTGGCCATAACTAAAATACCATGGATTGGTGGCTTGAATGACAGAAATCTAATTTCTTACAGTTCTGGAGGCTGGAAGCCCAGATCAAGGTGTCGGCAGGTTTGGTTTCTTCTACGGCCTCTTTTCTTGGCTTGGAAACAGCCACCTTGCTGTGTGCTCACATGATTGTCCCTAGTCTGTCCGTCCTCTTACAAGGACACTAGTCCTGTTGGATTAGGGCTGCCATATGACCCCATTTTACCTTAATTATCTCTTTAAAGGCCCCGTCTCCAAATATAGGGACATTCCGAGGTAACAAGGGTTAGGGCTTCAACATGTGAATTGTGGGGGGACAATTCAGCCCTTAACCTTCCTACCCTTTTCCTCAGATTCCTTTCCCAGAAATCTGGCTGAGCTGTCTGTGACCTTTAACCCTATGCTAGGGCCTTATCCCTGCAGGAAACTCGAGGGTTTGGATTTTTCTCCTTATGTAGGTGAGTATGGATGCTGTGTGAGACTCAGACATCTTTGGGCTGCAGGAATGGCTGCTAAAATGCTAATGAATGACTCACAGGCAGAACGGTGTCAGGTTGATAAAGGAGGCAGGTATGAGCAGAGGTGTTTAAAGCCTGGGAATCAGGAATAACCTTGAAAACAGTCCGCGGGGCTGGCGTGTGATGGAGCGGTTTAGAGATAGCCCACAGTCCACATCACGCATCAGGCAGCGTCTAGACCGCCACGTTCAGGGAATCAGAGGTCCAGGGTCTGAACGTTGTGGGCAGTATAAGGAATTTTCCAGCATCATTCTGGTCACACTCAGCTTTTGTCTTCTTGTTGCCTTTAAACTCTACCGCTGCCTAAGATGGGCTGCCCCATTTGCCTTTTCTGAGTGAGGGAAGGATTGGGGATGAGGGGGCTGGCTGAGGTTTGAGCAGGGTGCTCAGTCTCTGCCTTGGTGCTGGGTGACGAGCCACACGGGGAGGCCCAGGGTAACAGAGCAGAGAGCTCCCCTCTCCCTCCTTCACCCTGATACCTGGCACACCATCGGGAGTTACTAGGACCCAGTGCAGCTGTCAGCAGTGCAGAGGGTCACTGTCCCCTGGCAGGGGCCAGCATGTGGTGCTGTCTTTCCAGAGTCTTCTTGTAGCCAAAGCCAGTTGGTGCCAGGTTCAGTCAAGGTGGGCCAGAGCTGTTGGCCCAGGGCAGATCCAGCCAACAGGAGCTGGGTGAGAGCAGTGGGGCTTGGACCAAAGGACGATCCACCCAAGGTGGACTCTCTGTCACAGAAATCTGTGCTGTGGCTCCTTCTCTGACCGGGCATCCCCAGCATACTTGTCAAAGAGTGAAGGAAGCCTGAGGGACTTGTACAGCTTTTGTCACTTGTGATACCCTGGGTGGTGGAGTGGCTGAGCTGAGTACAGAGCTTAACTTCTCCAAGCCTTGGCCTCTGCATCTGTAGAATGGGATCACAGTGGCATCTGCCAGTAGGGTTGTTGGTGGGGGGACTTAGTGAGGTCATGTGTGCGGTCACAGGGTCAGTGCTCGGCCAGCCACAGGCGTTATTGTCTTGGTAGAGGCTGGGCTGCTGCTTTGGAACATCCTCCACGAGCAGAGGTCCTGAGCCCAGGCTGAGACCCGGATCCTTTTTGCCTGTCTCCTGGCACAGCGGGTGTCCCCTGCCGAGCTGGGAAGCTGAGGCAGCATGGCAGCTGGAGACCAGCAGCAATTCTGTTTTCACAGCCTCCCACGGAGCTTGGGCATTGGCACCGCCGGAGTCATTCCCCTGGCTTTTTTAGGGTCTCACCAAGGCAGAATGCCAGGTGTCACCAGACTGGCGGTGGCACCAATTAAAATGAGCAAGTACCCAGCATGCTGGGCTGGAGCCTCATAACCGAGCCTTGAAGCCGTCCCTTCCCCAGCCCGCCACATCTTCATGGGGGGATCCTGTCTGTTGCCTGGGGGCCCCCTGCCACGAGATGCCATCTCT